ATCCTGCAAAGCATTCTGGCATATACCAAAGCACACGGGCCCGGGGCGGATGGTGATGTGTGACCAATCCTTGAAAGATCAGGGGGGAGATCAATTTGCACTTCCCATCCTCCCTAGCGTACGATGGCGATTGATTGCAACCGCTGAATGAATGAGATGAAGCAGATTTGTCCTCCGACAGGGCGGGTGGTGGGAGACGGCTGAACTGGCATCATTATCCCGTGGACGAAGCGTATTTTCCAATACGGTGAGGGTATGTCGTCAGAAAGACGAAGAGTATGTCTGAACGTCCCTGGCCAGACAGACCCTGCGACCGCATTCGGCACTGGTGTTAAAATATGGGTGGCTATCGAGATACCCGTGGGCGAATCTTGGGCTTGTATTGGCTTGATTTGACCACCAGCTGGTGCTGGTCCTCGCAGTGACCGTCTCTTTTGGGCAGACGTTTCTCGAATTCAGACAAATGAGGCGCACAGGGTGAACAACGTTACGTGCCAGGGGCGTCGAAGCCGAAGTCGTGCCACGGTGACATGCAGCGGCGGCGGATGAGGCCTGGGCGTGGGTAATTGACATCAATTTCCATGAGATTGCGCTTAGCAGGGTTCGTTATCAGACTCGTGGCAGGCCGGGAACCATCGACGTAAAACGAATAGGTTGGCTGAAGAGAGGCGTCGATGGACCGAGCTACGTTTGATGAGATTGTTTCCTCGTTATTATCCAGCGAGATGGAGGACTAGTGGGTTACATGCATAGGCAAAGCCATCTCAGGCGACCAACTGCCAGACGGGGCGAGGGGCCGAATTTGACTTCGTAGGCGCGATCTTTGATGCCAGTCCAACCTGCCACGGTCCCCTTGGACCAAGAAGCGGTCAAACAATGGGGATCAACCTCCGGCGAGAGCGGCATCAGAGTGGTGAATCTGACTCGAGTGCCCATCGTTTGGCTATGGCAAGCGCGCGACAGCACAGTACCCAGGGAGGCTGTTCAAGCGTCAGCCAGATCTGTGTGAGCGGTGAATCGATGGCCAGAGTTGATGCGGTAGGTCGCCGTGTACCGTCGCAGTGGGAAAGGTACCGTAGTTGTTTGCCATCCCCCACAACAAAAGCCGTCTATCAGTATGTGCGAGGTGGGCATGGCGTGAGCCGCGGATCGTCGACAGCGCATGGATCCTCGTCCGCCCCAAACTTGGCGTACTTTAGTATGCTGTGCAGGGCGGTTGCTCAAGCTGTGTGCTCATTGCAGGGAAAGGCCAGGCACTGCATTGTATCCGCTTTCTCTTGGGATGGTTTTCGATGCTTGGCTCTCGCAACTTGTTTCATCTTATTACCTTCATTGCCTTCATTGAAGCCACGACAACGAAGGTTACTTGCGTCCGCTGCACAGCAAGGCCCCCATCGGCGGCCAGAAGCTCTGGCCGATACTTGTGCCCTGCCCCCACAAGGTAGACAGTCGTGATAGCGTGACGCGACCGTAGAAATTAGGTGACTCGTCGAGGTATGACCAGAAGAGGGTCCAGAACTTGCAGAGGATAGCAGTTACAGAGAAGCGCGCAGGCGGCGGGGGAAGGGGGTGGAGGAGAAAACCCGGGCGGTGGCAGTAGTCGATGTGGTGGTCACAGTCGTGGTGGCAGTAGTGGGGCTCACACCTGGAAAATAGGTGGTAGGTGGTAGGTACTTGCCCTTGCCCGTATACCAGTACAAGTCCACGGTACCCGCATCATCACCTGGGAAGGCAAGGAAGGGTTGGGCAACTACTTCTCCTGGCGTCTGGCGTCTGGCCCCGGCGTCCCTGCCCGCCCACCATCGACCCCCGGCCTCTCATGACCCCTGCAGAAAAATAAATCTGGGCCCCTCCTTCTGTTGCCGCAGAGCTAGCTGCGCTGGCTGCGCAGGGCACCTCCTTTTTCCTCCTCCCAGCCTAAAGCCCACTTCAATATCTACGGCAACGTGCCAATACACCCCTCAATTCGATTCTCCTTTGCTGGTCCTCTAGACTCTCGCCTCTCGCAGAACCTCACGTCCTTTCTTCTCACAGCTCTGTCTGCTGCTTGAATCTTGTCTCCGTCTTCACACACGTCCATCGTCGTGAAGCATACCGCCACTCCTTCTCCCCCACCTTCCCAAAGCAAAAGGACATCTTCCCCACCATGGCCGACATGTGAGTATCCCCTTCCCAGTGCCTCGCACCGCACCCTCTCGCCGGTCTGTGCAAAGCTGTCGACAAGTGTGGCTGCTGACAAGATATACTTTACGATAGTAATGTTGACGTCCTCGTCATCGGTGCTGGCCCGACCGGTCTGGGAGCCGCCAAGCGCCTCAACCAGCTGGTATGTCCTCACCGCCAGAGTCCTCGATCGTGAGAACCGTCTGGAAAACACAAAATACTGACCAGCGCCGGCAGAACGGTCCCTCATGGCTTATTCTCGACGCCAACGAGAAGGCTGGTGGTCTTGCGTCCACCGATGTCACCCCTGAAGGCTTCGTGAGTGATACTGCCCTCGCCCCTGTGTGCCTTGCACCAACACGAACACATTGAGCTATACACTAACTCGTGCCGAACCACAGCTCTACGATGTCGGCGGTCACGTCATCTTCTCCCACTACAAGTACTTCGACGACTGCATTGATGACGCTCTTCCCAAGGAGGATGACTGGTACACCCACCAGCGCATCTCCTACGTCCGCTACAAGGGCCTCTGGGTCCCTTACCCCTTCCAGAACAACATTTCCATGCTTCCCAAGGAGGACCAGGTTCTGTGCATGGACGGTCTCATCGACGCCGCCCTCGAGGCTCGTGTCTCCAACACCAAGCCCAAGGACTTTGACGAGTGGATCGTTCGCAACATTGGAGAGGGTATTGCAAACATTTTCATGCGTCCTTACAACTACAAGGTGTGGGCTGTTCCCACCACCAAGGTACGACCCAACCACGGCTCTTCTAGGCTCTATCGGTGTATCTGACAAAATCTCAGATGCAATGCGCCTGGCTCGGCGAGCGTGTCGCTGCGCCCAACCTGAAGCTCGTGACCAAGAACGTTGTCCTGAACAAGATTGCTGGCAACTGGGGCCCCAACGCGACCTTCCGCTTCCCCGCCCGCGACGGCACTGGTGGCATCT